TGGAGACAACTGCTTATCATTCTGGATTCTATTTTTACAACTTAAAGTAGTCCCAAGAGTGATAAAAATCAGGTCTCCAGGGGATTTGGATTTATTATTCAGTCTCTATAGTTATTTGAGGGGAGTCGCATTTGCTCCTCTCGCATGACAATTATAAAAATACCCTTTAACAAAGCAATGAACCCACAACTGCTGAATGTGTGTGACATGCTCCTTCAAAAAAACTGCAGGAACAGAGTGTAATTGTGGTTGTAACTATAAAAGCATGCTTCATTTATATCTGAACAAAATCCACTTTCTGTTGAGTGAACCACTGCACTGTTGAACCTCACCCCATGACAGTCCTTTACCTTTTGTCCACAGAAACCACCATGTCCATGTCCATGTCCGTGCCCATGGTTGTCATGGCTATGCCCGTGTCCATGTCCGTGGCCGTGTCCGTGGCCGTGGCCGTGTCCGTGACCGTGGCCGTGGCCGTGTCCGTGTCCGTGGCCGTGGCCGTGGCCGTGGCCGTGTCCATTTTCTTCTGGAAGTACACATAATTTATTATTCAGAAGATGAAAATGAATAATAATTTGTCGCATTTAGAAAGAGGAAATTAAAGAGTTATTTACCGCATCTATCCATTTCCAAACTTCAAACTCCACACAGATCCCCTGTGAGTGCAGAAAATTCAGAAGTGTAACTGTGAGGTATATTAAAAATACTTAACATATCAAAACTACACAAACAATTGACCATCAGCTGCTGCCCCCTTTTTTCTATATATTCAAAGTTACATGGAACAGGCCATCAGCAAAGTTTTGGAGGTGAACTTACTGTGTGTTGGTGAGCTGATCCACAGATGCGACTGTCACCTGCTGCTCTTTTTGTATGGAGCCACACCTCAGTCCCCTCCACATCGGGGGCTGAACCGCCATCAGAAAGTCACCAGTGTGTGTAATGCCTACCATACACCATGTACCCACTGATAGTCCTACATTCAAATCCGTCATGCACTACTTGTTGTTTTGTTAAACTTGCAATAATGACACGAACAGGCACATCATAAATACTAAACTTCGATGGGCTCATATTTAGCTTTTCAGTCTTCTGCACAGCGTATCTGCTTGTTGACGCATTTTCCGCATACCCAACCAGTGTGATGTTATCAGGAAAAAAACAACCTGTGTTTTGTCATCTGAACATCAAGGAAAGACTTTTAGTTTGAGCTCTTTGTTTTCTTTGTGTGCCTACACCCTCAACCCTCTTGCACGTGCAGTTGGAAGGTGATGACCTCGGTTCACAAATCAAGCAAACTAGACTGGTTTGTGCAAAGCAATAGTCCAAAAAGGCACATCTTCATAGGTATATTACAAATGAGCTTGCGGTTTCATAGCATTACACTCTTTTCCTTTTAAATGTACTTGCAGTTATTATTTGCATAACAAAATCCAAGTCATTTTAATCTCAAGCCCAATTAAGAAAATATGCAAATTGGATTTACAAGCTGTACTTGTTATTTCAGACTTAATGTTCAAGTCAAGTCTTTAAGACGCCACGTCTCATGTCACAAACCAACTCTCAGGTCAAGTCTTTAGGCAATCAAGTATCAAGTCCAGTTTACAAAGTCATGTATTAAGTTCAGTTTTTATGGAGTCACTCCAGTGACTTTGGTCCTTTATCTCAAGTCACAAATCGAGTGTAACTCAAGTTGATTATTTAAAGAGTTATATATGAAGTTTTCCTTCAGAAATAACTCTCAAGACTCAAATCAAGTCTTAGGCTCAAGTCAAGGTCTTCGGTTTACTCAAGTCTTTGGGAAGTCAGATGTCAAATGTCAACTGATGAAGTCTCAGATGTCAAGTCAGTTCCTTTAGAAGTCACACTTCAATTCTTAGGTCAAGACTTGAGGTTGTCAAGTCTTAGGTGTCGAGTGAAGTGTGTGAGGAGATAAATTTCAAGACATTAGGGAATTAAGTCTCAAGGGCAGTCTCTGGGAAGTGAACTCTCAGCTTTATCAAAGTCTGCAAGCAAATCTTCATTTCTGAGATGATTACAAGGAAGTGTTCACGCCACAACAACCGTCTGTTTAATATTATGTAGGTTCCCCTCGTCCCGCCAAAACTGCTTTGACCCACTGAGGCCATGGATGCAGGACCTCTGGGGGTGTCCTGTGATGTCTGGCACCGAGATGTTTGCAGCATATCCTTTAGGTCCTGGAGATTGCAGGATTAGGCCTCCATGGGTCAGACTTGTTCCACTGCATCCTGTAGATGCTCAGCTGGGTTGGAAACAAAAGAATCTGAAAGCTGAATCAATGCGTTTGTTGTTGTAGTCCTTGAGTTGTTTTTTGCAGTGTGGCGGGGTACATTGTACTGCTGGGGGAGGCTGCTGCTGAGAGGAAGTCTTCATTCAGAATTCAGATTGTTGTCCATCATGCAATAGCACCACAGTATCTGACTATCTGATTGGTCCCAGATTTATTCTGCAACACAACAACATGCCTAAACATACAGGCAAAGGTACAAAGAACTGGAAAGTTCTCCACGATGCTTAGAACAACCGACCCACCAAGTGTGCAGAACTGACATTGTTTGAAGGTTGGTCACACCTAATGTTGGTATAATTCGAGGCTGATAAACGCAAATCATTTGTGACATTATTTGTGAAAGTATCTTATCGTATTTATATATGGTGGCTTAAAGTGTTGCACAGTACTGCATACACACACACACACACACACACACACACACACACACACACACACACACACACACATATATATACACATATACACACCAGATATGAGCCTTACAACGACAGGAGAGAATCTGTCAGTCTTTCCATACACAGTGTCTGGTTGTCACTCTGCTAATAGTATGTTACACAGAAATGAAGGAGCAGCTTTATTATCAGCATCTTGTCATACTTCAGATTTAGAACAAGCTGTAGACAATAGAAAGCACAGGTTAAACCAGTTGCCTTGTCTTGTAGGTTTGTACTCAACCCCAGGATCTTATCATTGGTGTAACTGAGAGGACAAACGCTGCTGCACTGCCTGATTCATGGAACATTTTTATACAGACCCACACACACATTTTAACTGACAAAGCATCTCAAAACATTCCAGAAGACCACACCTTTCACTAAAGTTTGGAAATTCCCGTGTGTCATAAAACAGCATTGGTTCTCAAAGAGCAATAAAGCTGAAGCTTTGGTAGATTTCATCGGAAAAAATCGAGATCTAATGAATGGCAGCCTCATATACTGNGGAGGACATCCTCCTGGCCCTGGTGGAGGAGGACAGCCTGGGCCTGGTGGAGGAGGAGGACATCCTCCTGGCCCTGGCGGCGGAAAATAGCCTGAGGGACACTGGTTTCCTGGTCAAGCAAAACAGGTGTGGTCATCATTTTCACTCTCAGCTTACAGACACTTAATGTCAGTTTTCAGTCCTTAAATTTCTTTGATGAAAGTTTGACAAAAATGATAAGGTCCTAGCAGACGTGTGAAAGAGCAGTTACAGGATGTGATTCACTTACCTCTGCCTTGGCCAAACATTTCGAAACTTTAGATCCAAACCCTGAAACTGAAAGAGCCCAATAAACACAAAGTGACTATTAACACGAGAAAGTAAATTGCATTCTATCACAGTTAAAATACAACAAGACAGAAAGCAACAGCAGTCTAATGCAGAAAAAGGCTTGATGTCACTCAACAGGCAGTGCTGGTCGGAGGTACAGCAGCTTATAATTTATGATACAACAAAGCCATGTCTCCTGTGACTACATAAAGACACATTTACTACTCCTCAGTATCTTATTAATCGCACGTATCTTACATTTAGTCCCTAAAAGGAAGGAGAGTCCACACAGTGTTGCTGTGTAAACAGACCTGTGTCGCCATAACACTGTTACAAACACACACACACACACCCATACTTTCTGGAAATCATTCCTAGATAGATACTGGTACACTTACGGTGTTTTGAAGCGTAGCTCTATGGACACAGCAGGCTGTTGGCTCTGCCTTTATATGAAGCCACACCTTGAGCTTGAAACTCAACACTCATCATCAGGGGCTGTGCCTGAACTCCCAACATTTTTTTGTGAAGCTTCTCCACAAGGCGCCAGATAAGCAAGACTTAAAAGAACGCCAGCAAACTCACATCATCATGTTGTAAAGTTCACTTTCCTTAATAAAACGTTAAAAACCCAATCATGGATATCATATGCTCTGAGATCTGTGTCAGCTACAGCCACTAATAAAACCACTGTGCAAAGGACTTGAAACTCTGGCGCCATTCAGTGGCATTATTAAGATCAGCGCCAT